ATCTACCTAAAATGCCCACAAATCCCAGATAACTATGTGCTAGTTATCAGTTTATTGCTCCAAATTCATTTTTCATTGTCTGTTTTGCAACCGTGGGGCTGGGTCCCTTAAATATCTTTTTCTTGAAGGCATGGTGATAAGCTTTGTCAATAGAAGATACTAAAGAGATTATAAGAGGAGGGGGGTTCTCCTTCCTATTTCCTGGTTCCTCAACATTGACAGGCTCCTACAGTGTAGGCACATTCTCCAGCACCTAGCTCTTGCAGTACAGAAGGTCAGCAGCAGAAGGCCAACAGCTTCCCTCAGCTTTCTCTCTCCCTTCAATGGTTTCAAACCAGAGTATTTCTAGCAAGACATGTCCCCACGAATAGCTTTCAAGGGTGCTCTAGAACAAGGACTGATAAACCTTTTTTTAAAGGGTCAGACAGTAAATATTTTGGGCTTGCAGGTAATAATACCTTATAGACAATATGTAAATATATTGAGCATGGTTATGTTCCAATTAAACTTTATTTACAAAACAGATGACTGGACCATGGGCAATAGTTTGCAAACTGCTGCCTTAAAGGAGTATTTCTCCCACAAGTTCTGAAGGATGAGCTTCCAGTAAGTTCCACTAAAGTGGCACCGGTGGTTTCTTTGCCATTAAGTGAGACATAGTCATATTCTTATAACTGCCAGCCCTATATTCTTTACAGTGTTTACTCCAATTCCTCTGATATAGTTAGTAATTCTACATTTTCCCTGTTTAAAATATTTAAAAGTAATTCTTTCCTTCTTTTATACTATGTGACTTCTGTTTCCTACTTAGTCCTAACTGTTATCTCTCTTTAACCTTCTTTATTTCCTTCATGGTACTTACCACTAACTAAAATTATATTATCTGTGTTTGCTTACTTTTTAATTATCAGTGTCCTCCACTAGAATATAAGGTTTATAAAGCCACTTTGTTCACTAGTGAATGAATTCCAAGTACCTAGCACACTGCTGGTCATAACATACTCATGATAAATATTTGTAACAAAATAAATGAATCATTGGCCACAGTGGACCAAATTATCTTTTTAGAAGTTTAATTCTTGGATCCTATCAGATGAATGCCCCTTGCTTATATTTTTACGTGCTCTCCCTCTCTCATACAACCCTCCTTCACTCATACTCTGTGTCTCTGTTTATGTCATTCCTTCAGTCTCCACTCTACAATTAGTAGATAACCTCTGAGTGCAAAAATTCCATCTTACTGCCATTTAAACCTGTGAGGCTCAAACAATAGAACATAGAACTCTCCCAACACATTTCACAAGGGGAAGAAAGCCACTACTGACTGTGTAAGGTGGGAGAGATGGGTAGCTTCTTTTTAGGCTTTACCCATAAAGGTTGGCAAGCTTCCAAATAACAACAGTTGTTAGTGCTCAAATTGGTACTCATTTAAAAACATCCAAAATATTCTTAAATAATCTAATACTTTAAACCCACTAATCTAAAACATTTTTCAGAACAGAAATTTGTAACATTTTAAAAACAGTCCATAACTTTTTAATGTTCACCAGCCATTCCTTCTGAGTCTTTTGTTCACTCCCTTTTATGTATACAAATAGAAAATACTCATCAATGAATCTTTCAACTTTTCTGTAGATTCATCTAAAGTGGATTTTACCCCTATTCGGGCACACCTGTGGCTTTCTTGTTTTCAACTTAGTGTAATAATGCAATGGTTTCTGGGAAGCTCAAAATGATACCAAAACATCAGAATCTGAATGCTCAAATTAATTCAAAACAGCTAGAAAACAGGAGACTAATTCTGGTTTTGCTCCATTTCCCTCCTATTTCCTGATTTGTCTATACTGATTTGAGAGAGATGGAGAAGTAGAGAATGTCAAAGGGCACAGATGGGTATGAGGTCTCTAGCAGAAATCACTTCTTGGTCTTCTCAAACAATATGAACAGAGACAAAGGTAACAACACTAATAAAACAATGACTTCCAGTTCTTTCCTGCTTTTATAACTGCTTCACTTCGACATACACTATCAAATTTCAGTAACAGTAAAGACTGTTCCTCACTATCAATGGCAAGAACTTCCATCCAACTTCTACAACCTCTTGTCCCTGAATATCAAGTTTCTGCAGTTGCTTCCAAGTTAAACCTGTGCCTTCTGTTTAGGACTTGGTTACATTTAAAACAGCTTTAAGTTGCCCAACAGTACTATCTCTGTCCCTGATTCTGGCAATAGACTGCCTACCAGAGCCAAAATAGCTATATAAAATTTTGAAGTTATAGAAAATGTTAAAAAAAGAAAAAAGAAACTTTCAAGGGGAGAATATGGGGAAAAAAATATGTACAAATATCTTAAAGACACTCTGATCCAAAGACATTTCTATTATTTGAATCAATAACACATTTAGTATAGTTTTGATTGCTCATATATTTCTATAACTAATCATGATAATGGGGCATTATTTCATTTTTCATTTTTATCATATTACAAGTTTCAAGAAAAACTAGCTCTAAGAGTAAGTCTTCAAGAATCTTAAGCCAAGCTTTTCAAACTGTAGTTGGTTAAGTTTTTCCCCCTTGCCTTACTCTCAAGCTAGAGGAGTAAATTATTTTCCACAAGTTAAAAAAAAAAAAAAAAAAAAATTGCATAAAAGATTTCCTGGTTTCCAAAACATCTGCTGCTTCTAAAAGGTCTTAATATGATTTTCACTCAGATAGTATAAATGCTAAATTACCTTGACAGAAATTCAGCAAAACACATTTGAAGGAAACCAGAAACAACCATAAATAGCAACTTTTAAAAGAGTAACTTATTTAGTTTTTTTCCATTTAACATCATTGTTTAATTAATGTTTTACCTTTCATTTCATTGTTAACACTGCTTTTGGAAAAGTCTATGGGAAAGTAATAGAGACAGACGTCCTAAGCAACTAAGCTAAGCTCTAGACAACATTAATCCAGAATTGTCCACTGACTTGTGAAAGGGTAACATTTTGATATAAACTAAATATTGTGCCAAAGTGTATTAAGGGAAGTGCTTCTGATGGAAGACTGATCCGCGAGGTCAAAAATCTATGTTAGAGTCCCATCTCCAATAATGGGCTAGCTTTGTAATTATGGATAAGAAATCTAACCTAAGCCTCAACCCTCATCTATATAATGATGAGGCTAAACTGGATTATCTCTAAGATTCTTTTCAGGCATAATTTTATTTTTATCATCCCTACCACTTCCATTACATATCCCAAAAGATTTCATTGATTCACCATTATTAAATACCTAATGTGTCCTTGGTACCAACACGGTCTCTGCCCTCAATGAATTTATATTTTAACTGTCCCATTATGTATAAGAAAATTAGTAAAACATAAGCTTAGACCTATGGGATAAATAAGAATTATTTTTTTAAATGACCATACAAGCCAAAAACGTATAATAAAGTCAGCTTGGGTGGGAGAGACTCTCAGTCCAATCTCTAATAAATACAAGGCTGAGTAACAGCAGTCTGTGCTGATCCATCCCTGTCAACTTTTAATCCTTCTGACTGATGAAAAGCATGAGACATCTGTTTATTTTTAAGTGTATGCTGGCGGCTGGCTTCCTTATTTTCACCTTTCTTTGTACAACTGTACAGAATTCATCAAATACTTAACACACACCATCCAGCTGATCATACTGACCTTCAAAAAAATTAAGTCCTAGAAGGGGTATAAAGAAATGAACAAATGACAGTAATATAAGAAAGAATATGGGGTTAACACTAGCCAGAAACTCCCATGTACTCAACACAGTGCTCCCTTTTAAAAGTAAGTAAAAGTGAGAGCTATAATAGGACAGGAATAGAAAAGAGAGAAAGAAGGGAGGTAACATTTACTCAGCACTTAACAGGTGCCAGGCACTGTGAAGGTAGTTTTCACTTACTCTTCGGCAACCCTCTAAACAACTAAATACCCCAAACAGACAAGAAAAATCCACTCCGCTTCACAAAATGATTCCAACAGCCTGAGAGTGCATTCAAACGCAAATGCACTATTTATGTAATAATCATTCTGCTTAGAATCTTGTGTTTGGAACTGGAAGGGTCTTGCATCACCCAGGCAACCCATTCATCTTAAGGACGATGAAACTTAGGCCAGACAAGATAAGGTGCTTGACTAAGGTCATTCCTGTTTAGTGGCGGAGTTGGGATCAAACCAATAGTCAAGGCATCATATCCCACTCTCCCAGTAACTGTTCAGCGAAATTTAGTGATTCATGTTAGCTTCTCACCAAGTTACTGAACACCTGTCTATTACAGCACTTTTACTAAAATAATCACAAAAATCCGTTTATATATACAAATGGCTCAGAATTTCCAAAGAATGCTGTACCATTTTCTATACAAGATTTCGAAACCCAATGAGAAACTGTAACCTGCGTTTGAACATTTGCCTGTATCCCTCTGACTGCCCTCCTCATAAAGAACCCAGGGCCAAGCGGGGTGTATTTTTTAGTGAGGAGAATCGGGTCGCTGAGGTAAAGGTTTCCTCAGACAAACCCTCGCGCCCAGGGCTGCGTGTGCCCTCAGCGATTCGTAACCCGCGAGCCCGGCGGGAGGACGGAGAATGAGTGTGCAGTAACGTGGCTCCGGCGCCCTCGGCTCCTCGGCCGCCTTCGCCCTGCCGGGCCGGTTCCGAACGCCGACGGGGCCGGACCGTTACGGGGCCTCCCGGGCCGCGGCGCGGGCCGCCCCTCCCCCACCGCGGCCTGAGCCAGCGGCGCCGGCCGGGACCCCCCGCGGCTCCCCGCGCGAACAATACGAGGGGTCCCTCGCTAGGCTGACCGCCGGGGCCCGCGCCACCCCGCCACCCCGCGCCGCGGGCCGCGCAGAAGGCGTCGAGCCGCAGGCCGCGAGAGACAGCCCCACGAGAGGGAGAGAGAGGGGGAGAGTGAGGGGAGGGAGAGAGAGAGAGAGAGAAGGCGGTTAGTCAGGGGGTTCGGAGGCCGCCGTGCCCTCACCCCTACCTGGCTCCAGGTGATGAATTCGTTGGTATGGGTTTCCTCCACAAGCGTCCACAGCTTGCTGAGGAAAGCCGGCACGTTCGAACTCTGCTTCATTGTTAACCAGACGCAGGGATTCCAAATTCTACACCCGAACACGGCGGTGGCGGTGGCAGCAGCAGCGGCGGCGGTGGTGGTGGTGGTAGTGGTGGTGGCGGCGGCGGCGGCAGCTGCTGCTCCGGGAGAACGCCCACAACGCAGGCGCAGCAGCTCCCGAGCCCCGCCCCCCAGCCTCGCCAAGCGCGCAGCGAGGCTGGGAGGACCGGCGGCCGCACATGACGGACAAGTCTCGGCGTTCGGCCCCTGCGCACTGGTCCCGCGCCGGTCCCGCTTCCGACCAATCCCAGGAGCGGACCACAGGACAAAGAAAAGCGATTGGGTGCTGCAGACGAGGAGGGGGTGGGAGCAGAAGGGGGCGCTGCCTTCTTATTCGCCTTTTATGCAGTAGCCGTCACTGTAGCGGACCTTAGGCTTAGTGGACTGTGTTTGGTTGTTTCACGTGGAAACGGCTTTGGGTTTATGAGCTGTGGCTGGGAGGCTACAGAAAGTCCTCGGGGGTATTCAGCCATAAGTTTGGCAAGCAAAGTGTGGTTTGCGCCAGGCAGGAGGAAGTATAATAATTCACATGGGGAGGGGGGGCGGGGTAGGGAAGCAGCTTTCGAACATGATGTGCTAGGCCCCAAATTGAAACTGTCTTAAAAATAGTAAGGCTTGCAGTTAAATTTTCATTAGGCGAAAACGGTTCCATTAAAATACGTTTGTCAAAAAGAAGAATTTGAATAATAACTCTTAACTGTGTACTTCAGTGAACCAGGAGCGGTAATAGACCTTACGTGCTGTTTTTAATCTAACACACAGTGAATGCCAACTATATGCCTAACATAAAAATAGTCTCATTTGTACCCTTTTAATAAATTAAAATAATCATTTCTGTATATACTTAACAGGTATATTTTTGTTTCCCAGAGACTGTCTGATACAGTGAAGAAAAAAAAAATGAACAAGGAGTCAGCATATCTGAATTTAAACCC